ATGCCAAATGTTTATAATATTATTAATTAAATTTATTTATTATTTCTCCAATTATTTGTATTCATAATTATCAAACAATAAATTAACTATTATTATTATTATTTTTATTATTTTTTATTTATAATAATTTATTTTATTAATTAAATATCATTTGAAGCAAGGATGTTATTGTTATTTAGTTTATACTGTATTTTATATCCCGGATTAAAGTTTTTTAAAAATTAATTCTAGAAATTATGATTTATTCTTTTATATAGTAAATAAATAATTCTAGGTTTAATAATTCTATCTGTATCTTTTTTTACATAAAAAACTCTAAAATTTGCTGTCTCCTTCTAAATTTCACAAATTAATTATCAATTTGCGTTGTGCGAGAAATATTTGGTTTCTCTAAAAATGCTTCACTTTCATTGCGTTGTGTTGCATTACCATGCATTGCTGCTACTATGCATTACTATGCACCATTCTTCCGATTTAGTTTTATTTCTTTATATATAAGAAAATATAAAGATGCATGTAGATATTTGATTGATCTGAGATTTTTGTTTAAAAAATTTTAAAGGATGCATTTTGAATGGTGTGTATAAAGTGTGTACTATAGTATAGTACATGCCCTATAATATACAGTCAACACCTTCGTGTGCACCCTCTCGAAATGCACGCTCACGAGTGATGGTGATATGTTTCCAAGGGGTGCACTTAGAAGAGGTTGACAGTATGTATAGTACTATACTGGAGACGTATTGCTATGTTGAACTTGGAATTTTTTTTAGTATTTCTAAACAACTTTTAAATTAGTATGCATTTTCAATAAATGGATTTATCATTCTTTTTTCAACAAATATCTCTTTTTTAATGTTAATAATTATACACACAATATAACGATTAGATATTCTCTTTCCCCAACAAATATCTCTTGTTTAATATCAGTATTATATAATTATTAACCAATACAATGAAAACCTCTGTTAATTATTTTGTTTGAAAAGAAATTAAAATGTCTCTTGATACTCAAATTTTCTTTTTTAATAAAAAATGTCTAATTTGATGATGAATCACCTGAAATTTCATCTACAAATATACTTGAAAATAATAGTGAAGTTCCAACATGAATATATAATTAAACTCGCGTTTCGATGGATTTTAAAAATCTTTGTTACCATTACACATTATTATTATAGAAACATAAAAAATCCGTTGAAACGCGATTAGTAATTTCGTTTCAACGGAAATTTTCTTATATAATATGTGTCCAGTCACTCCGTTGAAACAAGAGTTATACTGTTATTCATTTACATCATAAAGATAGTAGAAATGATAGACAGGATGATGGGCATCTTCTTGAGCCATTTGACGAAGTTACAAGTTCTTTTGTATGCAACAATTTCATCGATATTATCAATTGTTGAAACATTAAAGAAAATTAAAAGATTTAGGAGAAGAAGGAGATGATATTGATAAATTTGAAATTGCGTTATATTTTATACAGAAAACATAGAAGAAATTCAAATAATGAAAATTTGGGTGATTCAGAATTTGACGAAACTAATCGTGAGCCAGTTATTATTAGATCCAATGTCAGATAATGAGCCAAAAAGAAGAAATTACAATGAGCTAAATTTCAAATTAAACACAAATAATGAATTACTCGAATCATTTGCAATAAAAGAAAAAGTAAATGAGGTTGATAATTATCTTGATGAAAATATCACGGAACAAGCAGGACCCAATACTGACACTTTTGAGTGGTGGAATGAGAATTTCCTATATCGGCAATATTAGCGCATAAATATTTGTCTCTTCCGGCCGCTTTAAATGCTGGAAATAACATGACCATGAATAATTATCTTTCCATCCTAACATTCATGTCATTAGTTAGCAGTAATTAATTACAAATATTTGTATCTACTATCGAAGGCAAACTGTTGATGTGGTCATTGTCGGTTATAGTTGTGCTAGTGATTTTTTTTCATGAATGATTAGTTTCTTTTAAATCAAATAAACATCAGTTAGTTACATTTTATGACAACAATGACAAATAAATATTTACATTGAAGTTCATAATGATAAATAGTCTATATATTTATTAAATATAAATAAAGGTATGAATAATTTCTTTCTTTCTTTCTTTCTTTGATTTCTTTGATTTCTCTTCTAATAATAATAATAGCAATGTTTTTCCCACCAGAGTTATTAATAAATATAACCTTGCATATTTATCATGGAGATGAAGAAGATCAAAAACTGGGCACGATCAATTATAAAACAGGATTTTCGTGTATTTTAGTGAATATAGACATTGGTGCAGAATTGGTATCCCTATACTTGGTCATCGTCCATTATTCAAAATTTCTTGATTCTATAAATATGACGAAAAGGAATTAACATTAAACAATTATAATGATGATTATGATGATTATTTCATCGTTTATTCGTTTTATAAAATATCAATTCACATAATTTCAAAGAAATTTAATAGTAATCCAATAAATTTTCTTATTTTTAACCATCCTTCATTTTTAAAGATAATTGATTTTGGTCGTCAATCAATTTATGACCGGCATCTTCAATTACGACATTTCCATCACCATCACATTCAACAACCACTACACTAATCAAAGTTTCGACGAATTGGACTCTAAAATATCTTTTGACAAAAATCGAATTTCACGATGCAAATGACAAATCGTTTTTTGGTGTAATTATGGAAAGACTTGTAAAAATTTACAAGTTATTGGATTTTATAATTGTGAAAGATTAGCAAGGAATTGATTTCTGAATCAATTAAAAATCGAATTTATAAAATGATTGTTGTTAATACAAATTCCCGAAGAATTAATGGATTGGAGTAATTTCATAAGTAAACGAGTTAAACTTTATTTTTACAAAATAATTAAATTAAATTACATTATATAATATCAATCAACAACCAATCAATTAAAGAAAGGGCTTTTCATTACTACTAAATTTGTTCTTCCCATTAAAATGATTATTTATTTTTTTGCGAGGTTTTGATATTGATAACGATGTTAAATAATTTGTTAAAGTATTATTATTATTATTATTGCTACTACTAATAGAAGCAGCTGTGTCATTTGATTTGTGACAATCATTACTATTACTGCTGTTATAATCTTCATCATTTCCACTACAACCAACGCTCTCATCATCGTCGTCATAATCATCCTTAATATCATCATTTACGTTGAAATCGTAACAAAAAATTCTCCCCCGAGAACATCCAGCCACGATTCTTTCCTCGTCAATGCTTAATGCAACAAATACTGTATTTATTATATTTTCCAAAGATGTACTAGTAACGACAGATGGTGAAGTATCTGGTGATGATAATAAAAAATTAGAACTATAACTACTGTTATTACTATTAGCAGCAGTGTTGGTTGTGGTAGATGAGGAAGATGATGAAGATGATGACGACGACGACGATATGGCAAGGAATGGAGATGGAAGAAGTGATGAAGCGAGAGAAGGTGATGGAAGACAAGACGATGAAAGTGATGGAGAAAGAGACGGAGAAGGTGATGGGGTTAAAGATTTTATAATACTATTATCCATGTCATAAGGTCCTTTATTTGGATTATAAATCAATAATTTACTTTTTGCAGGATAAGAAAGTAAAGATCCAATTATTCCATGATTGTATTTAGAATCGATTCCAACACATAATATTTTGTGTAGAAAATCTTCATTTTTATAAAGTATCTTTGGTTCCTTTGAAAATATTCCTCTTAATTTTTCTTCCTCGTCACCATCTTCATTTTCCATCAAATTTGTCGTTGATGATGTCATATTAAAATCCCATCTTAAATGAAAAACTGATCCTTGTGGTGCAATGCATAATATATCACATTTAGCATCACTGTAATAATCAATTGTACATGAACTAATCGATGTTTTTAGGATGGTGGATTTGTGAATACATTCATGAGTTTTCACATTAAAAACTTCAATAATTCCATTTATTGATGAAACTGAAATTACCATGTTATTACCAACAAGTTGAATCCCTGCAATCTGCTTATTTTTTATTTTTATTTGGAGGGAAATTTGTTATTATTAATAATAACTTTTAAAAATAATTACACTTGTTATTTTATTATACAAACATACCCGATCATTAAATACTTCAAATTGTGCAATTTTTCTTTCATCTGCCAATGAAAGTACATGAATGATTCCTTTATGTGTACCCAATGCAATAAGTTCTTCATTCATGGAAATACATTGAGTTCCAACTTGATTATGATTATCAGTGAATTTACCAAGAAGCTCTCCATTAGAAAGTGAAAATATTTTGTATCCAAATTCACTAAAAAAATGACCCATTCATATAAATAAATATGCAAAAATTGTAAAAGTGCAAAAATATCGAGTTAAACATTACCCAAAACATGGACCACAAACAATTATATCTTTTTGTTCAGAAAAATCAACACAATTGATGGCCACTCCAACATCAATGGTTCTTTTACGTTTACCAGTTCTCATATCCCAAACACATATATGATTATTTGATCCCGTGATTAAAATATCACCTCTTAATTTCAAAGTTGTTATACTGTTGTTATGAGCTCTAAAACTCATTACTTTTGTGGCAGATCCTTTCAACCAATTAATTTGTAACCTATAGAACCTTTCCCAACTATTTTTGGTTGATCTTGTTCTTGGTGGCAGAGAATCAGGCAAGAATAGTAATCGGCTATGATGTTGCCATATCATATCGTCTAATGAAAGTCTATACCAATTTTTCGATACCTATTTATATGTGTGCGTGTGTGTTCTTGTGCTTATTAGATTATTATTATTATTAATATGATATATTTTTATTTATTTACCCTTCTACAAAGACATATCGTTGAAACTGAAAGTTCAATAAATATTTTTAGCCATATTTCATCTGATAATTTGTTAAAAGGGTCGTTTTTCTTTGAAGCTAATGTTGCTAGTAATGATGTTGGTGATGAATTATATTCCATTCTTTTAATTATTATATTATTATTTTTATTTTTTTTTCGGAATTTAGAATTATTGTTCATATATAGTAACTTTACTGGTGATCAAAAATTATTGTTACATTAGTATATATTAGGTATGGGTTCCTACGACGAATAATATTAATATACTAGGTCAAATCTGACGATTAAATTACCAAACAAGGCAATGACTTTCATACAATAAAAATCCCTCTTTGGAAATTCTTTAAATAACAATTTGTTATTATTATCGAAAAGGAATATAAATGAAAATAACGAATAAAAAATAAAGCCTTTTAACCAGTGTTAAAAGCCCCCTCACATTCAACACTTGAAAGAGGAATTGAATAAAGAAAATCCTCTGTAGACAAAAATTGATCCGAGTTAATAATTTTAATTGGTTCAGCTGAATTTTTAGATATACCATAATAATAATAATTGGTAACTCTTCGTCAAAATCATCATTTTATATTGACATTTGGTGGCCATTCTTGTATATTAAAAATTCCATCGTTTCCATTACTGCATTATTTTCATCTTGGAATGTTCTGACATATGATCCAATATACAAAAAGCCAAATACTTTCGTTCAAAAACTACTACACAATTATCTCCTTTGTCATCACTAAGATTTGTAAATTCGAGAGTTATTAAGGTGTTAACTATATCGTTCGTTGTAAGCAATAATAGATATAATAGATAATAACGGTAAGTCAAATTTAATGGTAGAATAAATTTATTGGTGGAATAAAATTGGAATCTCGTATATAGACACTGGATATATCCCTTTTTCGATCGATCGTCACTCAATAATAATAAGGTGATATGTGTAGATCACACCAAATATTAATATGCAAAAATTATATACTATTACAAAAGTGACCGTGACACCGAAAATTTTATCATTAATTTCTTGGCTCTCTTTCTTATTATTTACTATTTATGCACAAGAAAATATTGATATCGGCATTTTTCTCATTTGGAAAATTAAAAATTTTAAATTTCAAAAGGCAGGTTATTTCTATTTGGGGCAGTGATACAGGTCAAATACAAAGGTTTTAGGTAAGTATATTACACAATGACCCATTGCCATTTTTACTCGTCAGGTTATTATGTTTTTTCATTGCTATTACTACTTGTGAATTTAGAAAGAACGTTTAACGTCAAATGTATTACAATATTAATATATGAGTCATTTTATTTATTTTGATTCAACTAAAATATATAACACAGTAGGATTAAAAGTACCCGAGCGATTTCATGGGAGGAAAATACTTGACCCTAAAGCCATTTTATTCGTTGGTCACTTTGGTAAAATCTCTATATTATATTTTTCTTCTATGCGATTGCTCTGGGGATTTCCTATCTTGTATAAATCTTTCTATGCATTGAATCAAAATAAAAATAATTTAACCCTTTCTTTGTGTGCTTGTTACATATCTTTTGTCTACATAACAAACATAACAAATCTCTTAGTACTAACAAATAGACAAAATAAAATAAATTGCATCGTAATATTACTAACGATGTATAAAAACGAAACTTTTAAGGAACAAAAATTTGAGCCTATTCGGGTCTCTGGGATTCCCCCAGAAGTTATATTTTTTCGATTGCATATAATCGCAAGCCATGAAATAAAAGTAAACAAATCAATCTAACCCATGTTAAGCTTAGAGATGTCAGATTTAACATGATTGACATTTTATGTCTATACAGGGCCAATTCATTGTCTTTTCGGGATGAGCTTCATAAACATTCAACAAGCTCTTTGAAAAAGGGAAAAAACAAAAAGAACTTCGCAGTCATCCTGCATTTTCCCATTATAGGGATCAGGTTAGCCTTTTTTTTTTTTTGAAAAATTGATGAACCCAAAATATTTTGATATTAAATACATCCAAAAAATTCATCAATAGACTCTCAAAAAGCTTGACAAAATAAATAATGTCAAAGGCGTCAAGGAATCGTCTGTTAGCCATCATAGTTTTCCATGTTTTGTTCCTTGGATAAATGTCGAAGATAAAAAAGACGACATAACTATTTAATTAAACTGATATGTAAAACAATGTATAATCGATGATCATAATCATTGAATTTCACATCATACTTCAATGAGTCGTTTAACAGGTAAAGCATCATATGAGTCAAGATTATCATCATCGAAAATTATGTCAACCGATATATTTATTCACCTGAAAGCAGTAAACACAAAGGGTTATAAATAGTTTCGTTAGTTTTTCCCTCCAATCCCAAAATTTGTTGTTGTTGGCGAAAAGGATGATTTGGAAGTTACACCAATTATTTTGATTTTTTTTGTGACATGCAAACCCGCGAGCTTGTAATAAAGCAATGGTTATTATAGGTATAAAATGTATGGCCAATGTATTTTAAAATGATTTTGCATAATTGAAACTTGATTTATGATTAACATTGTATTAAAAAAACAATTCTTAAGAAATAGGGGATGTAGCTCAAATGGTAGAGCGTCCGCTTTGCATGCGGAAGGTACTGGGATCGATCCCCAGCATCTCCATAAATTTTTTCTGCAAATTTTTTTTCATAAATTAATAAATAAATAGACAGATGTTTATTTTTTATACGAATATGAAAGATTTTGATAATCAAATATTATTAATGCACGATAATCTTTATAAAGTGCACCAACACCTCTTCTTATTGTGATTTGCTATTTACTTCTTTATATTGATTAAATGTGTGTGAGTGGTTGGTAATTCCTTAATCTTCTTTACTATTTATTACCAAGAAATATATTACGTTTTTACTATTTATTAAACATTAATTTATTATAATGATGATTCTGCTCTCACAAAATTCAATCACAAAATAAAAAGATAGCCGTTCAGTCATACTAATTAGTATCGTAATCAATCATAAACAATAATAATAAATAACAATTAATATTATTAATAAGATTCGGGGATAGTGTACATCTATTATTTACGCCAAACAGAACTTTATTTTTCTTTCTTTCTAACAACATACTTATATAAATAAATCAATTAAATTTATTTTTTAGTAAAAAAAAAAAATTAGAAGAATGATTTCAAAAAAATCCTTTGTTGTTACTTTCTTCTTTTTGATAATAATAATATCGTTATCGGTACCAATAAGTGCAGTACCTTTCGATGATAATGAAAATGGAGTTGCTCCTTTAGTGACTTCTGAGAATGCAGAGGTCATTCTTGACCAATACATTGTCGTCCTCAAGAAAAATACAGAAAAAGCTAATATCCTCAAGCATCACGAATGCATTCACGGACATGTCGAGTCTGAGAAATTCAATTTTACAAAAAGAGGATTATTTGATGAACAATTATTTTCTGGAATTCGCCACGTTTACGACCTTGATGACTTTAAAGGATATTCAGGCAGATTTAGCAATGAACTTCTAGATAAAATTAGAAGAAGTGAAGAGGTAAATAATTTATTTATATAATTTAAATGATGATGATCGCCAACAATAATAATTCATTACGATTTATTATAATAATCTTTAAATTTTTATTAGGTTGCATATGTCGAAAAAGATCAACTAGTATATGCTAGTAAATTGGAAAAGAACGCACCATGGGGTTTAGCACGTATTTCCCAACGGGGTCGATTGACGTTGGGTAATTATAATAAATACAACTACGACAGGCGCGCTGGCAGAGGCACTGTTGTTTACGTCATTGACACTGGAATTAATATTGACCATGACGATTTTGAGGGTAGAGCTTCATGGGGTGTTACTGTTCCTGATGGTGATGAAGATATTGATGGACATGGACATGGTATGTAATTTATTTGTATGATAAGTAATACGACATAATGTAAATTATATATATTAATTATAATATTGTTATTATTATTTTAAATAAAGGAACTCATGTTGCTGGAACAATTGCCGGAAAAAGATACGGTGTTTCAAAGAAAGCCAAAGTTGTAGCAATCAAAGTTTTGCGATCAAATGGATCTGGCTCAATGTCAGATGTGATAAAAGGGATAGAATTCGCCACAGAATTATATTTAGAAGAGGTTACTAAAGCTCGCAGAGAGCGTAGACGTTTCAGAGGTGGTGCTGCAAATATGAGTTTGGGAGGTGGTAAAAGTCAATCATTGGATCTTGCCGTTGACGCAGTATGTATTTCTTTAAAAAAATAATAATATATATTTATTTATTTATTTACGCATTCATTGTGTCATACTAATCATATTTACTTTGTAATAAATAGGCTGTAGATAATGGGCTTATTTTTGCGGTAGCAGCTGGTAACGACAATAAAGATGCTTGTAATTATTCTCCAGCCGCTTCACAAAAGGCAATCACAGTTGGTGCTACAACTGTTGGAGATGAACGTGCCTGGTTTTCAAATCATGGACAATGCGTAGATGTGTTTGCCCCAGTAAGTATTTTGTTTTTTTATTAAAAAAATTTTTTTCGTTAATTAATAATAACACCATAATCATATGTATGAATGTATGTGTATAAATAGGGTCAAGACATTACATCAACATGGATCGGCTCAAGTACAGCCACAAATACCATTTCTGGTACATCAATGGCATCTCCACACGTCGCTGGTCTGGTTGCTTATTATCTTTCAATCGAGCCAGAACGTGACTCTGATTACTTCACCTTAACATCATTAGCAACACCTGAAAAGGTGAAATCTAATATTATTAGATTTGCAACAAAAGACGCTATAGAAGCGCCTCTCCCTCCTAATACACCAAACTTGTTAATTTTTAATAGGTACAATGAAAATGACTGTTTTAATGACTATGAATAGATAAGATAGTCTTTAATTGATTAATAAATAATATTTGCATGTTTTTTAAAAAAATATATATGAATAAATAATAAATAGTCTTTGATTAATTGATTAATTAATAATGATGATAATAATATTTAAAGCCTACTAAATTACTGACAATAATGATTAATCGATAATATTCGTTAAATTGTTTCATCGTTGTATGATTGTATAATAAAGAAACATCTTTTAAAAATCCAAAGAAAGCATGTTGAAAAAAAATCTCGAATTCCATTTATTATTATTATCGATGACTTGGAAAATCAAATATTTATAACAGTGGAAATTTCGTAAAATCATGCAAGTTTTATTATGATTTGAGATTTTGTAAAATTTATACACATATAATAAAACACGCTGTGTGGAAATAGATTTCTAGTAATAGTAATAAATAAATAAATAAATAAATAAAGTTTTTATAATTATTTTGTTATAATATGTTTTCTAGGTAGAACTTCATTTTCTCCAATTAATTCTGAAACATTTTTTTGCATATCTGTCCAATCATCATCTCCTGGTATACCGATCTATTTCAATTAATGATAATATTTATATTTAATAAATAAAATAATTCATACAAACATCCAAAATACACTCAAAGTGACTAGTTAGTTAATTAATTACCTCTCCAATATCATAAAGATGCACCCTTCCATCCGAAGATCCAATTGCAACTTTACGGCCTTCTTTGTCCCACTGAAGTTTATTTAATGCGCTGTTACTACAATGAGTATTTAGAATTGGTACTTCGATGTCGCTGTTTATATTCCAAAGTGAAAAGTTTCCTTTGCCATCAACACACCCAAACAGTGCTGGATGTGTAGGCGACCATTTAACATCATAAACATAATCATCTGCTCCTTCAAATGAAAACAACGGTGATATATTTCTTACTCCTACAGATGCCTTTGGTGATGACTTTTATTTGATAAAATAATCATAATATTAAATATTATATATATATATATATATATATATATAAGCATATATAAATACATTTATAATATATATACACATTATAAATATTGCTTACTTTTGATTTCCATAATTTTACAGTCCAGTCAACTGAAGATGTTAAAAATAAATCTGAAAAGTCAATTGGTCCAGCAACTGGATGGAAATCAAGTCCTGTAATTGGACCCCAATGTCCATTATAAAAATCAAGTGGATTTATACCCGGTTTACTAAAAAAAAAAACATAGATATAATATTTATATATATATATGAATATATAAATTATTTTTTCTAAAAAAAATTAATCCATTACCCTCCAGCATGACTGTATCTATTGGCTTGATAAACATTTCCTTCTTCGGTTCCCACCCAAAAAGCAGCAGTTTCATTGGCAGGAAAACCGAGAGCTGTCACTGATACCTCATCAGTCTTACTATTACTCGAATGAACCAATTCCAAAAATTCCTGTGGCCTATTCAATGAATCTAATTGCCAATAACACACCATACCATCAGTACTAGCGGTTATTAGATTATGAGCATTTTGTGTACCGGCAATTTGCAATGAATAAACAGGATGTGTGTGTCCAACAGATCCAAGTGGCGTCTTCTGAACCGGTAAACTTTTGGCTCTTATATCCCAAATTAATATTTGACCCGAGTATGTACCCCCGATTATCAAACTTGGATTGAAATCTAAAAATCTGGCTGTAAGAACATCTGACTAAATAATATACAAATATATTTGTGTATGATGTATACATGTTTTATAAGTATTTGTAAATGATTCGAATAAAATAAAAAAATTTAAATAAATCCAAAACCTGAGAATGGAAAACAAATTCTGGCCTTTCAACTAAATGTGTATTCCACACTAACACAACACCATCCGGTTCATTAGCTGCAAATGCATTTTTGTTATATGCTGCAACACATAATTCAGGATTCTAACAAAATTAATTAATTAGTTAGACAAAGCATTCACTCAATCAATGATAATTCTATTCTATAACGGTATACATAATATAATGTACTATAATATTTTTTGCATACTTTATGAGACCAATTAACATCAGCAACAGACCGATTTTTACTCCATTTTTCATCAAAAAATGAAAATAAATATTTGACTTTTGCACCAGCATTATTGTGGTTGTTGTTTTCATCTTTTGAATTGTTGGTAATTGTATACTCTTTTATATAATCATATGATTCATTGATTGCTCTCTCAACAACTCTAGATGTATGATCGATAAATTCCATAAATTCTGGTGAATTGATAATAATTTTTCTTTCTGCGTCAGATAATTCTATTTATTATATTATAAAATATAATGATTAATATTTATAAATTATTTAGATTATTAATTTGCAAAATAAAAACAAAAATAGTTAGATACCTAATAATTTTAGTTGTCTCTCTCTTTCTTCTTCTTCTCTTCTACGCTCATCCTCTAAAGCAAGCTGTTTAGCCTTTTCTTTTTCTGCATGTTCTTTTTTAACCTGTTCACGAATTTCTTCTTCAGAAGATGGTGATGGTACAAATGAGGTTGATGCAGTTTGCACTTCTTTATTATAAAGAACAAGTTCCTATAATGTTAATTTCATTAGAGAAAAATTTTTTAAATTTTCAATTTTTAAAAAAATCAGTTATTAAACAATTAAAAGAATACCCTTGGAGGCACATCCAAAAGGACTGTTTCAGTGGTATTAAAGCCTGGAATATATCGAGGATTAACCAACGAAGGACTATGATATATTATAAATGATAATTAATTTTTTTTTACGCGTATTAAATACTTGAAGATTGCCAATTTAAATGTAAACCTTTGTACAACAGGTGGATTAATATATGGCGCAGTTATATTTGGTGTAATATCTTTAGTTGGTTCAGTTGTTGGTTTAGACTTTACTGAGAGTATATCATCAAGAAATTGATTAAAATCCTCTTTTTTACTCTTTTTCCAACGAAACAAAATAATTAGAAAGGGAAAAACGTGGGGTGAAACAACAAATAGTTAGTTATTCATTAATTAATTAATTACTGGTTTTTCTACAGCAGGTGTGCTTTTAATTCTTTCTTCTCGTGCTCTACGTAATTCTTCAAGTTTTTGACGTTTCTTTAATAATTCTTCTTTTCTATTATCAGACATCTTTAAATTTTTACAAAAAATGTTAAAATGAAGAATGAAAAAGAAATCTTTTTTTTATTTATTATATATATATGATTATATATGTATAGATCGATAGCGTTTATGGCAATTCATATTACCCAAATTTTAAGATCATATGGTATCGCGCATTAAATGAATATCACTTTACACAAAAATTTTACATTTCTTTGTTCAATTAATTTTACGTCACTATTATTTAATTATAAGATCTTGTAATATTTTTTTTTCCCGCAAAGTTTATTTTCAGAGAGTTTAATTCATTTTCCCATGTCAACTTGTCAAGAACAACTAGCAGTAAATACAGGCTATTGGAACTTACACAGTCAGTCCTATATTAATTGTTAAAGTATAAGGTATCACATTATTTGGAAACTCAAATCTGTTTATTACCTTGTAATATATATATAGTAGCTTCGTAAAACTTTAGCCTTCAAAACCACAGAGACAAACAAGCCTTGCGTACTAAGAAAGTTGCTCTCCGGGACAAAAATAACTCGGATTCACTTAACCCAGAATTACACTTATTTTCATTCCTCAATTACAATGCTGTTGAAATAATATTAGTATTGCTTCCAACTTTAGCAAGACAAACACTGTTAGGGATATAAATCTGTTTTGACAATTAATTGCTGATATTGAAGATTGGCGGAAGAAAAATGTCATAGAAGTATAATCTATAATTAATTATATTATTATTATTAAGTTTGTAGGATATATGTTAGCTTTGATTGTACGTAAATCAGCAATTTACATTAGATGAAGCATAAGCCGATATTCTTAATTAATTAATGGTTGGTCTTCCATTAAAAATTTGTTAGAACAAAGGTTAATAGAATCATTTCTACCTCAAGCTGCACCTTCATCTTGTTTAAAGACTTTAGCAAAGAATTGCAATCTCAATAATTATTTAGATGTCGTGAAATTTGGCCACGAAATTTCCAGCGTTATCTCAATTTGAAAAAAAAATCAACATTCCTGTATACTCCTTTCTCTCATTATTATTTGATCTAAAATATAAAAAAGATTATTGACTTTCATATGATAGATATAAATGTCGGAAAATATGTAAATAGATTCACATTTGATAAATTGAACAATAGTCAATTTTGGCTGAACTCGCCATAGACACCGGTAATATTGACAATTCTAAAGATTCAATTATTCTATCAGATGAATAATCTTATCAAGTGTCCAAATTCGACTGCGTCACATATACAAATTTCAGGATTTTTTCCAAATTTGGAATTGATTTGTTGATTGGGGATTTTCATCTGAAAATTTAATTAAAAGAATTAAATTTGACTTTGATATGGAAATGGATCAAAAGGCAAGTATTTTTAATATTGCTAGGTTTTGTTGAATATCTATATGAATGTAAGTTACGCTGCTAACATTCGTGGTTTTTCAAATAGTGATGTGTTGGTGTAGATTCATATGTCCCACAAAGTGCGGTGGTTATGTATTTTATACGTGTAATTCCATTGTTAACTAGTAGGTTGATATTATGAAACAATACTTATTATTATTTTTTATTTTAGTTTGAAAAACCTTCAACTAATAAAGAAAAAGGAGATAAATTTGAATTAAAAATATTAAAAAATAATCATATTAATGCTTATGGAATAAAAACATTTTATAAATTTGAGATGAAATTATAATCACTGGTGACGGTGGAATTGATATAATTGGAAATATACAAACATTTAATTTTATAGTTCAATTTAAATATAAAAAATATTGATAAAATTCCTCCTGAAGAAATTCGAGATTTTAAAGGTACTTTATTCGGACAAGGAGAAAATTGTATTGGAATATTTATCACAAACGAAATTAATCAAAATGAAGAAAAAAATTCTTATTCTTCAGAAGAAATTAAAAGTATGATTGGCTCGGTCTAAAGTTCTCCTATTGCTGCGCCACGTGACCAAAATGAGAAATTTTTAAAAAATAGGACCTCATGTGATTTTAGTTTTACACAGGTAGACTCGATAAGTCGGTCCCTCGATAAGTCGGTTTTGGCCTAAGTCAGCCAAAATTTTTCAGCCCTTTTTTTCCCTATTTAAAATCCCTTGATAAGTCAGCCGACCTATATAAAGTCGCGATAACTTATAAGTCAGCCAACCCCTCTTTTTAGGATAAGTAAATTGTTCTCGATAAGTCAGCCTCACGTGACATTTTCATTATATAAAAGATCATCATTACTACTTTTAGTAACGTATGATTTTTTTTTTTATTTATTTATTTATAAATTTTTATCATACGTTATAATCTGATGATTTAGAAATTCTTGTCGCGATATTTTATTATTTCATTTTTGTATCATCAGGTTATATCGTTGATTGTATAATTATTGCCTGATAATTTAGAAAGAATATTTTTGTTTGTATAGTAGAAAATACATTTATTCATTTTTATTATGTTTTATTATGTTCGGAAATATGTATAAAAAGGTTGTTGGTTGATTTTCCAAACTTCTGAAATTCTAATAAAAAGATCAATATAAATAATTATTGTTTTAAAAACTATTTATAATTTATAAATCAAAATTTTAACCATAATAATGAATACAGAAAATAACATGGGGAGAAAATTAGTTACTCTTACTAATATTAAAAAAAAAGAATTATGTGAATATAAAATTGCTAATCCAACCAAAACAAATGAACAAATTGGCAAAGAATTCGGAATTGGAAAATCAACAGTAGGAGGTATTTTTAAAGAAAAGACGAGATGGATTGCAATTGATGCAGATTCAGACATCATTAAAAAAAGAGAGCGTGTAGGTGAATGGCCACAACTAGAAGATGCATTAGCAATTTGGATTGATAATGCTAATAGAGCGAATTGTACAATAACTGGTGTAATCATCTGTCAAAAGGCAAAAGAATATGCTACAAGACTTGGTATTAATGAATTTTCTGCATCAAAGGAAAGTATCAATTTTGTCTATTAAACATAAAAAAAATAAATGTTTTTTCCATATTAATATATAGTAAATTTAAGCATTCATTTTTCAATTGATAGGGATGGTTGTCTAATTTTAAGAAAAGAAAAAATATAAAGGAACACTATAAATCAGGCAAAGCAGCAAGTGCACCAATTGACGATTTACCAACATTTAGAGCTGAGTTGAAGTCTCTAATTGCACAATACAATTTAAATGATGTTTATAATGCTGATGAGACTGCCCTTTATTGGAAATTAGAGCCAAGCAAATCCCTTTCAAGTGGTCCCATTACTGGTACAAAGAAACCTAAAGACAGAATTACAATAATGCTTGCATGTAATGCAACTGGTACTCACAAATTACCTGCTGTTTTTATCCATAAATATAAAAATCCAAAATGTATTCGTAACATTGACAAAAAAACTTTACCAGTATGGTATTACTGGAATAATTCATCTTGGATGCAGCGTTCAATATTCCAAACATGGATTAAACAAGTTAATGAACAAATGCGAAGACAACAAAGAAATATTTTGCTATTAGTTGATAATGTTTCTTCACATCAATTAGGAGAAAATGAGGTGTTAAGTAATATTAGATTACATTTCCTTCCACCTAACACAACTGCTCATCTTCAACCGATTGATCAAGGTATAATTCATTCCTTTAAATCAAATTATAGAAAAATTTTGTGTAAAGATAGGATAGATGCATTTGATCAATTTCAAGAATATGGGACTGAAATACCTACTTTAAACATCTTAAATGCAATCGATTGGACTGCAGAGTCATGGAAAAATGTAACTGATGATGTGATATATAGATGTTGGGAAAGGACAGGTATTCTACCTGTTGAAGAAATGACTAGCAATAATTTAGTTGATGATAATAGTGAGATAGAGGATGAAGACATCCAATTACTCATTGATCAAATGAATGATGACATTGGCATTATTAGAGCAAGGGATTATATTGAAATTGATAATAACTTAAGAACAGGTGAAATGCTTAGTGATGATGAAATTATTGCAGCAGTCCAAGAAGCCCCCGAAACTGAGGAAGAAGAAGAAGATATGATTCCAGTATCTAATAAAATTGCTCTAGAAAGTATCCAAAATTTATCTGATTATTTGCAACAAAATGATGATATAAAAGTAAACAGTTTATTTGTTTCGGGATTGAGAGATTTAAAATGGAAAATTAGTAGAAAACATGCAACTTCTTCAATACAATCTAGCATGGATATTTATTTAGAATAAAAAAAAAATTTTTTTTCATATTTTTATCTGTTTTATTATTTATTTATTTCGTTATTTATTTGTAATTTTTATTTAATTTTATAATAATAAAATTTTTAACACAAAAAATTTTTATGTCACATGTTCTTTGTAAGATGGTCTCGATAAATCAGTTCTCTCGATAAGTCAGCCAAACATGCTCAGCCATGCACGGCTGACTTATCGAGTTTACCTATGTATAAAAATTTTAAATTTAATACAATATATCTGAATAATTTAAATATAATAAAAATCATACCTAAATTATCAAATAAAAAGCCCACATCTAATCATTTCAACTTGCTTGTTGAACTATTATTACATTCAATTTCTAGAAGAGGTTCCTCATCCTCCAGATTTGGTTGTCCCAAATGATTCTTTTTTCCAAAAATACACAACAGACACAAACTACAGTATACTGATTGTAGGATTTGTTGAATCAAACAATGCCAAACTTCTGATCTTATTTGGAATCCTGACCTGGAGTCTGATGTTTCCCACAATAGGAAGGGACACTATGAGTACATTAAAAAATAACACCTTCAATAGATAGCTAGGTCCTGCTTGTGTTGGTACTAGCCACATTGATGCTTCAGAAAAGAAGAAAATTTCAAAATTAGGACCAGATACTGGCCACCAAAAATGCAAACATCTATCAAAAACCACAACCTTGCCTTCGAATCTCCTTTTAAAAAAGAAATAAGTGTGTAAAGGCTTCCTCAGATCTTCTACACCTTGATGATGACCAAAGACAA